CAATATTGTCCATGTTTTTGACCCAGGAATTCTGTTTACCAGGCTGGAGCATGTTGTGTGCCACCAAAGCCGCTCGCTGTCCTGCGCGTTAAGAGGCAGAGAGTTGCCCCTGCAGAGCCTGTCCTGAGCGCCGTGGGGCGCCCGTGACAGCGGGTGCCTGCCGCACGGAGCCCCGCAGCCCTCGAGCCAATGCAACGTAGTGACCACGTAGTGACCACGGCCCCGCCGGCCACGGCAGGGATCGCGCCGGGGCGCACCGTGTAGCCCGTGCCAGCCCGATGCCACCCCAACCAGCTGCACGGCTCCAAAAGTCTCTCACGTTCGGCCTCGGAAAGCAAAGCCGCCCACACTGAACTAAGTTTTAGTTTGTTCGAAACTAGCAATTCCTGCTTCGTACCTAGATGGCTGTGGAGAGAAGGTTGTGGGAAGGAAGGGCCCTTGCCCACCTTAGCTGGCCCTGCAGCCTGCGTGGGGCACGCAGCGACCACCCCTCCCCGCAGGGTCACCACAAACCCTCCAGACCCGAGGCCCACTGCAGAAACTGTTCTTTTATTTTAATAACTGTCACCTGGCTGAAAAATTACGCTTAGCTTAAAAATGCAAACAATACTTTTACTTCCAGATTTATTTGGTTAATGAAGTCACTACATAAATTTAGCACATTTTTTTAGTTATTAATTGCTAACAGTGAAAAGGGCTAAATTCAGAATAACTCTCTGTTTCAAAGACCTAATTGCCAAGGACCTAGCCTTAATATTAACTAGGATAATTATTATGCAAAGCATACCCACCCAGAATGTTTGCATAGCTATCACAAGCGCTTTCATAAATGATGCTTTAATTAGTCTTAATTAGAATTTGTTTAAGTCAGCAGGGAATGCAGAGCCCGTGAAATGATGTATGTAATAAGCATCAGGCTCACTTTTTACTTGGGGAATAGAGCTGACAAAATCACATCACGTTAAATTGATTCAGTCAGAATTAAAATTCTTATGGTATTAATTAAATGGGGGATCTCATTAGCAGGCTGCAGGGTGACAGAGTGACTCTTTGGCGAGCAGATGTGAAGAAGCAGCCCTGAACGGGAGCCCGGCCGGAGCAGACGCCGCCCGGCCGCGCTCGGGGCCACGTGCCGGGCGGGCTGCGAGCTGCTGCCACCTAAACCCACGGATTAGGGCTCTCCGTCGCTAACGGGCTCCTTGCGGCAGGTGAGGGCCACAAAGGGCCTTGCACGTTGCAGAGGGCAGCTGGGCTCCAAGCGGGATTCCCAATGCACGGAGGCAATTGGGAACTGCTGCTCACTGGCTTCGCGTGCCTGTGGGCTGCCGCTGTCCTGCCTGCACGGGCACAGTCCGCTCCACCTGGCCCTCCGTGAGCAGCGGTGCCTGCTCCGTCAGGCACTCAGTGTCTCCTGGGGATGCTCTCGCTGTAGCTCCCCTCCCTGCCTCTCTTTAAAGCATCTGGGCCTGAATTGTTCTGGTGGCTCCATTCTGGGAACATAGGGAGTGAACACAGAGTGAAAACTGGGGTGTGTTTTGGTTTGTTGTTTTGGTTTGTTGTGTCTAAGGCTTGCACCAAGCAAGCGAACCCCAACCCAACGAGCCTTCAGAACTGGCCTCAGCGTCCTTATTCTTCCCGTGGCCCATTTGTTAGTGAGTCTCCAACAGTGGAAAACGGGCAGGATCTCGTGCCCCCCGGAGTGAAGGGCAGCAGACATGGGCAGCCATGGGGGACGGTCCTGGCCACCAGGCCACCCCATGTGTGCCTGCAACGGGCACTGCCGGCCAGTCTGTGTCCCTGTCCCCTATGGAGAGACCACACCGTGGTGTCCAGCAGCCTCCTAAAGCAGGTGGAGGCCGCATGGCACTGGAGGCTGCCCGGCCTGGGCCGTACCCACAGTTTAAATACATGGAGATGTTCCTCCTTTGCTGCTCCAAGCCCTGCTTTCTCCTAAGCACATATTTTAAGACTTTGTTGAAATCAAATACCGTTTTTTTTCTCCCCATCTAGTCTAAACCTACTAAAACATTCACTATTCTTACTGCCTAATGCATTTATTCATGGCTTATATATATTTCTCCACTATAACTAACCTCTTTCCTCATGTCTTCATTTTTAATAATATTGCTTATGTGAAAATTGCTGGATAAATTATTCAATTCTCTCTATAATCTAGTATATCTGCAGTAAAACCACTAACCTGGCTCTGTAAATACAGTCGTCATAATTTAGGTTTTGTCTCTGCAGCTCATTTCCCTGTTCCCCTTCCCTCGCTGGGGGCTGCTGGCCCTGGGCCGGGGTTGGATCCCGGAGCTGGCAGCGGAGCGACTGGAGAGGCTCCTCGGTGGATGCGGGAGCCGCCGCCTCCCGTCTCGCGTGCCGTTTCCTTAGTGTTTTTAAGTGTGGAATTAGCGAGGACGGCTAATTATCCGGCAGTGCAGGGCTGCAGGCCTTGCCCACCACAGGTAACTGCTTTGGAGGGGGGTGACGTGGGCAGGGCATGGGCAAGGCCATCGGCAGCCGGGATGACACCCTGGCGAGCCCTGGGAAGGCGCTGCCGCCGGAGCGACGTCCTGGCGGGAAATCGCCGGACGGGAAGGGCTCCTGCTCCGCGGCTCACGGGGACGCGCTGCCGCGGGAGCGACGTTTGCCGGTAATGAAAGAGGCCCCGGAGGAGGGAGGTGCTGATTTGGGCACTCCGGGATATTAAAATGCTCGCAGGGCTTTGTGGCGCTGGCTCGTTTGCATCGTGCTATGTTGAGAGCAAGGAGCACAACTGCCCTGGGAGTGATCGGGTCTCCAGCCCCACATCCAGACCCGCTCGCCAGGATCCCAATCATGGAATAAAAACGAAAGCCGGGAGTCACTTGGGCCCAACTCAGCCCTTTCAGGTGGCCACACTAATTCCCGATACGTGTTTAACTGTGTGTTTGGCCTCTGCAAAGGGGCCAGCTGAGCACGCGGCCACTTCTACCCATGGACTGCGCCGTGATTCAGGTGAGAGCAGGTCAGGGGACACGATAAAGTGGATCTGGCACCATCTGGAGATTAGGGCTCTTTATCCACGCTCGGGCGATTCATCCATCCGCGGCTCTTGTGGTGCTCCATACAGACCGGCAGCCGCTTAAAAGAGGTATTGGAGTACAGCATGTGTTTAAAATGGAAGTTTTGCGCCATTGCAGGCAGGCAGTTTATTTCCTAACTGCTGAAACAGAAGTTGCCGTGCAGGGCCCAAACTGCCCCCGCGCCCATGGTGCTTGGGAAGCGCCGAGAGCGGCTCTGCGCAGGGCGCCCAGCGCTCGCTGCAGCCCCAGCCCTTTCAAGCTGGTGCCTAATGAGGCAGCCTTTAAATAGGCTAAAATTCCCCGAGTGAAAGGCGATTACCTGCTTTGTTAAGAGGCATCTCACTTGCTCATTATTCACACTCTGCGCTCAAGGATATTCTCTTATAAAACCCCTTTAAAGGAGGGTTGGCTGGATGAGCAGAAGTTGAGAGCCTTCTCCTAGCTCGTATTGCAAGGGGCAAGTAATAGCGAGTGGCACTGGCCGGAATGTGCTCTGTAATAAAACAAAATGGGTGTAAAATCAAATATTTAAACTGTCAGCTTTCAAAGCAAATGAGTAGCTAAAACTCAGTTTAATAATTGATCTATCAATGTGCAGATCAAAAACCCAGGCCAAAATTAAACAATTATTTTTCTGAAATTATATTTGATTAAAAATTTCCTGAAAGGAAAACAATTGAGCCATTCTTCTGGACAGTAATTTATACAGTTTAGTGATCTCGCTGTCAATAATATACAAACAGCACTAATATATTACTATAATGCTTCATTTTCATTAAGACATCTGCCAAGTTCTCAAAAACCTTTTCCATTTGGGACTTGACTTATAATTGCATAATCCCTGGGGGGAGTTTCAATATTATTTTAATCAATTTTAACCACAATACACAATATGGATGATTACATTGCAATGTCATTTCCAAAGTTACTTTCTCCCATTAGTCATTTGCAAGGGGAGAGGACACCAGGAATATTTGTGCGACGTGTTCCGGGGAGGAAAACAAATGACACAAATGGAGCAGGAATTCCTCCGTCTTTCAGCAGAGTGACACGGCGAATAAATATAAATGTGCGTGTGTGCCCGCGCCGCGCGAGGCGCAGAGGGGATGGGGGCGCAGGGGACCCCGCGCGCTGCCCTCGCAACGGCTCCGCGCGGTGCTCAGCGCGTGGGAAGTGATGGAGCCGCCGCCGCCCGAACCCCGGCGCCGCCCCGCGGGCAGGAAAGCGGGGCAGGCCCTGCACATGAGCCCGGTCCAGGGCTCCGCGCGCAAAGCCGCCCCTAAGCGCGACGGCTGGACTGAACACTTCCTGCTGCGCCTAGGAAAGCTCAGGAGCTCGGCCCGAGGTACCGAGTGGAAAATACGGTGACTCACACATGCTTAAACGATGCAGGCGGGGTGGGTGTATTAATGCTAAACACCTCCGGAGCTGGTAAGAAACCAACACCAGGATCGCTGGATGCCAGCTCAGTGCAGTGCTCTGAAAGATCACCGGTGGCATCACGAGGTGGAAATAAAGACATTTTCTCAATGCATTTCTTGCATTGCGGTCTCTAGCCTATATAAAATATGCCTTTTTTTTTTTCCCCTTTCCCTCTCTCTCTCCGTATTTTAAAGAAATAATACTAATTAGGGATCTGCTGCCAAGGGGTGTTCCTCAGCTAAAAGGAGTTATTCTGTGACTGAATATTCAGTTCAAACGCTCTCACCACAGGAAGGAGATAGGATTTTCTTCTTTTTTTAATTGATGGAAGCCTCGGAATGATCTGGAAATCATCTTTGCTTCGTGTATTGAAGCCAAGACCCAAAGCCATGAGGAGCTGCACCACGGAGCTCTGCTCTAAAGACTAAGGAAATGGGAACAACCGAAGTGAGATCAAATTGCAAGGATAAAGAATTGGCTCCTGCTAAGAGATAGAAAGAGATTTTTTTTTTCTCCAGAACTGGTGGGAAAACAGGGGTGAGAAATTAAAGGAGTCCAAAACGTACCCGTCAGAGGCTCTCTGAGCTGCTTTCTGTTTCACAGGTTTGGGATCAAGTGGGAACTCGCTTTAGGGCTTCTCACCTTCACCAGAAGCAGATTCGGCACCTTTTCAATCCTCCAAATGTTTTGTGTGGTCCTGGATTGTTTTTACATGTGATCATTTTGTGTAAACTTCGGTTTTCCTGAGCGGGCTAAACTCGTGTATTGCATTTGTTTATTTGATTTGGAAAGAGGGGATATTTTCTACAGAAAAAGGATTCCAAATAAGATTAAATACTTTATAATCCAAAGCAAAAATGGAAAATGGAGACGTGTGAGATGTCTCCGCTTGGTCTGATTCCATAAAACACTTCCTTTTCACAAAATAGCATCACTGACGCAATGTTTCAGTTCTGCTTTGACTTTTTTAAAAGATGAGTTATTTTGAAATGGAAAAAAAGAAAAAAAAAAAAAAAAGGAAGTTTCATTCCCCCAAATGCCCAGGGAATACTCGTGTAATACTGAAATGCCTTGAAAGTGCCCAGAGATGTGAGGAGCAACCCTGACCTGCAGGAAAAAAGCATCGTTCTCGGGGACTCGCAGCTGGCTGCGTTCCCAAGCGTACGGAGCGGGAAGTGGTGCCTGCGGAACAGGGGCCGTGTGGGCAGCTCCAGACATTGGAGCTGGGGGTAAGGGGCCCTGGCGTCACCTCAGGCACTGGGGGGGTCTCCCGGGGCCGTGGGGCTGCGGGAATGTCGCCACCAGGGCTAAGGGAGTCGGGCTCCGAGCGCAGTTGGTGGGATGCGTTTTGAATCCCTGTTTAAAAGACATGTAATTGCCTCAGATTCTTTATATTATCATAACTCTTCAAAATTGATTGGTTTTAGGTTTATGGAAAAATATGCAAACGTGGCGCGAACGGCGCACGTTTCTGCTTGTGGGTGTGGAAGTAGTTCCCAGAGAATCCCTCTGATTGAGTTTGATTGCTGAACAAAATCTAATTATTTTCGATACACGCGCAGGCTTTCCTGGAGAGGTGTGCTGAAGAGAAGAGATATTTGGTGTCCACGAGCGCTGTTTGCCCACTCAGATCTGTTTATTCACACATATTTTGACAGTCCAGAATTGTAAATAATTGATATCCGTAGTCCCTTCTTGGCATGTTCAGAGCTGTCCCATGCAGCTGCCGAGGAGAGGCTGGCGCGGCCCCACGTGCCCGGCCGCTGCTCGCGGTGCAGGCGCGGGCGGCAGGGCTCTTAGCTGGGACACAGCGCTTAACCCGTCCTTTGACTGGCTTTTAATGGATCTGTGCCCATGCCTGCGCCGGGGAGACAGCACCTCCGTGCTGCCGCGGGGCTGGGTGAGAAGCTGCAGTGCTTGCGGGCTCCGGGCGGCTGCGCCGGGCTCCGCTGCGCTCCCGCTTGTTCCCACTTACTCCAATGCGCTCCCGCTCGTTCCCATGCGCTCCCGCTCGTTCCCATGCGCTCCTGCTCACTCCCATGCGCTCCTGCTCACTTCCACATGTTTCTGCTCCCTCGCGTGTGCCCGGTGCTGATCCTGGGAGGCAGCGAGCCTGGAGATGGCACCACAGCCCTTCCTGGGCCTCCACCAAGGAGCATTTCCACGTCTTCTGAAACAGCTTTCAATAACGACTCTAAATCCACTCCTCTCACAAACAATTACCATCCATCCCCAATTATCTCCTCAATTATAATCCACAATCCTCCTGCATTAAGTGAAACCATATGCTCTTCACACCCGCTCCCAGCAGGGAGCCTCCTGTCCACCGCCCCGTTCCTGCTCGGATCCCTCTTGGAAGCCCCTCGCGCGATGTCCCTGCATCCCTGCAGATCCCAGCTCCCCACGGCGCTGCCGTGTCCCCAGGCGCCACCAGCGCCACCGCGGGCCCTGCACGGGCCGTGGCCGGGGGACAGCGGCTGTTCCTGGCCGCGCTGGCCAGGACGCGCCCGCTGTCCCCGTGGTTCCCAGCGGGTTTCCTCGCTCGCGGGGCTCCCCATCCAGCATCACCCGCATGCGCCCGCGCGCTCCGCGGGGTGCGGTGCTCCCTGCGCCCGCCACCGTGGTTAGGTCGGAGCCCCTGTTAGCAAATACAAAGGAATTACTTATGCATTCTGCTCTGGGAACCATCATTAATTAGGAGTTTTACATATTAATTGTAACTCAGGGAAAAAAAAACAATGTTTTGTGCTCTCTTTCTGTAATGCTGCACGGTGCTGGTGGGAGCAGTTGGAGCCGCTCTGGAGGGCAAGGAATAAAGAGGAGCAGACGGAGACGCTGCCCCGCGGGCTCGGGCGAGCGGGTCTGCCCGGGGCGTGCCCGCCAGCGCCAACCTCATCCCGGGAAGCGGCGCTTTGCATCAGCACCGGGAAGCCGCCGGCTCCGTTTCCAGGGCCCTTCCCAAGGGAAGGAGCGCGGGAGGCGGCACAGCACGCGTGGAGCCGCAGCGAGGCTGTGTGCCTCCGAGCTGCCCCAAGGGGCCCCGTGTCCTCTGTGTCACCAGAGCTGCGGCTACGTGCGGCCCTGCTCGGGTGGGCAACCTGGAGGGACCGGCCTGCCGGGAACGTCGCTCTTCCTGCCTTGGCACAGAGCTCTGGCACTGCCAGGCAACGGGAAGCCGGAGGCGTGCGGCACCGCGTGCTCGGGGCCCACGGCAGGCTCGGGGGGTCACATCCAGAGCTCCTGGTGCGCTTTGCCCTATGGAGGGTTTCCGTAGGGAAGAGTGCAGAGCGGAGCCAGCCGTGGGTGCTCAGCTGCACTGGCCTCGGCGCCCCGGGCACGCAACCCCCAGCCTTTGCAACAACTGCCCTGTTCTAAACGCGTGGGTTTGCCCATAGCGGGGAGTCGTTTGGGCTGGCAAAGTGCAGAGCGGATTGTGCGCCAGGACGGACGGCTCTCCCCGCGGCCGCGCGCAGCAGGTGCGGTATCGTGGACCGCACGGTCGGTAGCACA